AACGGATGGAAACAGTGCTGTGGCCTGCACGACAAGTGAAGACAGGCCATCTAAGTATCTAAGTAAATAATTACCATTTCACTCTGACTGCCTAGTGCTAGTCTATGTAACCGACCGTTTGCTTCAACAAACTTCCACTCAAAAACTACCTTACTGGTTTCTTAGAGATAGGGTTAGGAATAGCTCGTTAATGTACCTTCTCATCTTATCAAGTATGCAAGTTTTTGTTTCCGCTAACCAGTACGTATCAGTGTTTGCATCAACTGATATGCAGCTGCATATGCAGCGATTTGAAGGAGTGTTTTGAAAGCAAGAAGATTGAGATGGTTTAGCCTGTTTAGTCATGTTATTCACAGTTTTGCATAATTGCTCCAGTTATGAACTTACTATGCTTTTGAATTTTGCGATGCAAATCAAAAACCTTCTTTCTTTGGTTGACGGGCTAGTTGAAGAACTTGTAAGTGAGCTATCTACTATGATATCCAAAAAATGTTTGAACTCATTATTGATTTTGACTTTTGACTAAAAGGGTCCTTCGTTTTTCTACAATATAACAGAAGCACCCCACCCCTTTCAGTCCTTACGGAAGCAGCGATTTGACCCATGCCATTACGTATCTATACAGCGTAGAAGAAGTTATACAAGTACAGCGGGTTGAGGCAGTGTATAATTACTAAAAGTTCCCAGTTGTTGCTGGTAAACATTTTTAGCGAAAACAATATTAGGTTTCTAGCTGATCTTCTTGGCTGATGTATACGGTAGCCATAAAGTAATGTGATAAAGTGTGTAAAGAATACAGATTGTTAATTTCTAATCTCCCATAATTTCTTTTTAATTCATTCTCCATATTTTCATTATATTTCGACAAGATGTTGTAATTTGAAACTCAAGCTGTTCGCTTTTACTTTTTTCTTTGAGTTAAAAAATTCTCATGTCGACAAAGTACTGCAATTTCGGTATCTATGCTTCTTCATTAACTTCCACGTCTTTATTTTAAAAAATCAAGAAATTTTACTTGTGACAATAATAAGTCAGTTAAAAAATACAATTCGTCATTATCAAAGCCTCCTCCCCCTTTTCAAAAATTTGTCAATGATATAAAAGTCCCATTTTTACCAAACAAGTTTGTCAATGGTGTTGAGCCGGGCGTAAAATCTCATTCCAGGATGCTGTTCAACCTTTAATTTGGGAGCTCATTATCGAAAATCAAACCATGGTTATGATTGGAGTTAGGTCGAAAGAGCAATTTTTTGGAACAGGAAATGTGGAGGCTGTCAAACCCTATTTGAAAAGTTCCCTTCAAGCTGGGAGAACCTCCGATGTGCGAAGTATCTTTAAGAGCAGCAAGCGCAGTTTTGTAGGCAAAAAAGACTTACTGCGATAGCATTCGGTAAAGTTTGTAATGCATGCATGAATAAGTATTAGAAAAAATCACGGAAAATTATAAGAAAAGTTAATGTATCGATCCTAACGTCTCATTATGTCTGATCATACTAACAATCCAATTATCCACCAGATTGTCTTTGCTGGTTTTCGCTAAGCACTCTTAAAGTAAAACTTCTATTCCAATATTAATGGAAAAACAGATACGGATTATTGCAAAAAGTATATGCTACTAGTAACAATTTAATTAAAGACAAGAGCACTGGCGAGAATACATTGATTTTTTGACATGAACCAAAGAAAACAGGATTACTACTTCTTGAAACGTTTGAGGATAGGATAGATGTGCTTGAAAGCGAGATCAATTTCATCTTGATTCCGAGCTCCAGTAATTACCACCTGAAGATCTTGAAAGACTATTTGTGAGAACAGCTTGAAAGCAAGGAGAACCCTACCTTACCAGAGACAAAAATAAGCAGTACAACTCGAGGATGGACCATTCGGTATATCAAGCCGGGAAATAATTCTGGCTCATAAGTGCAGAACTGCGCATGCATAATGCACAGGCCTTCTAACTGAATAGAGAATCGAACGTCACATGAGCCAACAACATTTTGTACCTAGGAAAAACATCTTAGAAGGTGTTTATAGTGTGTCCAGCTGAAGTGGACCATTTTGTCGGTACAAATTTTCTTACGACGACTGCATCCTCCTTGCGAGCGATCCAGAAGCGATCTGCCGACTTGCTAGTGTGAAAAGACGCTCTCGCACTGTGCGGACAAATCGCTTGTCGAACCGCTTGCCAGGAGGGAGAAGAAGTTGAATCTGTAAAAACAGCCACAGTAGAGTGCTTTTTTTATTAAATGAAGCGCATTCTCAACTTTCAAGCATGTCAGTAGTACTAATTTCGAGTAGAGGAGACAGAACATCGTAATCTTGAACTCGCGCTTTTTGATTTCACTTGTTCTGAGGTTGCCATGGCAAAGTCTGTAGCCCAACATGTGGGTCAACTTAACGGAACAGACTATATTTGTGATCTAAATGCCTAAATCAAGCAAAAAGTACACTGTATTAATATAATAATAAGATATTGTAAGATGTTTTTTGTTCTTACAAAACGACAACTTTTCACAGCGCGCTTTAGAAAACTAGCTTAAGGTCACTTGTCATGGTAGCACTAATCCGCTATGATTTAGCATTCGCTGAAGCGTTATTTTACCTTATGTAACTTGTTGAATAAAGAAAATCCAACATTAACGCTTGGAAACTGAAATTTAACTTAAATGGCCAATAAATGGCATTTTAAAATTCTGTTTAGATAAATATTCATGGAGGGGGATCAAGGCGAACAGCATTAAATTATGTTTAATTTAAATCTAATTGTAAGTAGCTTCCGTCTAGATGATGTACTTACGTGGCCATGAAAAAAGACAAAATTTTCTTTTTACTATCACCTTGAAGTCAGCAAACTTGACGTTGAAGCCAACTTTCTGCACTATTCGAGCAAATTTTCGAGAAGCTTGCCTGCAACTTTTATCCATATTTAAGATTACTTCCTTCAAGTTCATCAAAATGAAAGATAGTCTGTGGAGTTTAATTTGGC